CCTAATAAAATGTTAAAAAAAAAAAATCAAGAAAAAAAAAAAGAAAGAAAGATAAACATCCCGTGATAAAGGAGACGAAGAGCCCACACTGGACCAGGGGCAGTCTGATGATCGCTCTCGATCACAAGGACCATGCTGCTCTTACTAGAAGAGAAGCTGACTTTTTCGCATGGATGGACATGTGACGGTGTGGCTTCCAAAGCGAATGTCTGCTCTTGACAGTCGAGCCGTAGTCAGTACCCTCTCATCCAGGTCATATTGTCAAGCACGAAGATATCCAATGTGTGGCAAATGAAGGCATGCCAAATTATTGGATGTAGACCGTATGCGTTTGAACTATAGTGCTGGCAGACAATATTGAAAGTACCACAGACTGCCAAAAATGTAAATCTGTCTGGGAAGAGGTGGTGGAGTCAGAGTGCCCCTTAGATGCAAGGCAGGCGAGACTTAATGTTACATACTGTGGGCACATTGTCAGACAAGACCAGTCCCTGGAGAAGGGCATCACATTTGGTTGTGTAGAGAGGCAGCGCAAAAGGAAGCCCCTCAACAAGACAGATTGACATGGTGGCTGCAACAGTTGTGAGGAGGATGCAGGGTCAGGCAGGGTTTTGTTCTGTTGTACATAGTCTAAGTAGACACCACCTAACAACAAATATAGAAAAGGGACCAGTATCAAATTTAAGGAGAACTTTTCTGAGAATGGTTTTCTCTCTCCTATTAAACTTCCTTTACTAGAACAAAATCGCACCTGTGAGAAAGGAAGTAGGAAAGACTGATGAAATGGATCGGGTAGAACTGGTGGCCTTTGATCCAAACCAGGAAAGACAAGGCCTTTATAATGGAGAAAGCATATGCGCGTGATGACCACCACCCCCGAGGTGGGTCCAGTGTCTTCCCTCTTCATGAGGGCCAGTGAACCATGCGCACTGCCAGCATTTTATATGCAGTAGTGACTTCTGTAGACTGGCTGTTTTTTGTTTTAATATTCAGCTATTATCATTCAGCAGGTGTCCTGATGGCATCGTGTTACATGTTGTGCCACTAACTTCAAGGTCAACAGTTTGAAGCCACTAGCCATTCTGCTGGAGAAAGAAGAGTGCTTTCTGCTCTCATAGTTACAGCCTCAGACACTTACAGAGGCAGTTCTGTCCTGTCCTACAGGTTCTTTATGGGTCAGCTTCAACTTGATGGCAGGGAGTTTGATTGTTTTGAAGTTGATAAATAAATTCAAATATAAAAGCTCTGACTGTTCCCTGCATGATGACTTCAGTGTGCAAAATGAAGTTTAACACTTACAAAATGTTTAGTTTTTAAGAGAGAGAAAATAGCCCCACCCCCAACCATGTTTGTTAGTCCATACCTTGTCATTATTTTTAGCTGTGCACACGGGCTAGCTTAGATGAAATACTAATACATATTGAGTTCAGGGTAGGGCCCTTAATTGTTAGGACATTAAAATTATATTTCACTGGCAAGCAGAAGAAAAAAGATTTTTAGGAAAGAAGCCTATGAAGAAAAAAAATCTCAAACTCAAAAATCACAATCTCTAGGACACTCCAAGATAAGCAAAATGGATTCCATCCGCATGTGGAGGCTCCGATTTGGATGAACGTCTCTTTTAATTCAGTAAACACTGTTCTGGATTGGGTTGTGTCCCTGGAGAAAATAGGTAAGGTCCTTAGCTGCTGTGAATATGATCTGTTTGGAAGTTAGATCAACATGAGGGCATAACCAGAGTCACTCTGAGGTCATACTAGAGTAGGCAGTGGGTCGTACCCAATCTGAGGGGAGTCCTTTCTGTAAGTGAAACAGGAAAGACTTCCGAGGGCTAAACTTGTAGCTGCTAGGTAATCTGGGGCTCCCAGAAGCAGGGAGGAACAAGGGCCCTTCCCATAAGCCTGTGAGGAGCACACAGCCTACAACACCCTGAATCTGTCAGACAATAGGCTTCTGTTCCTAATAAGCCACCTAGGATGGGGTATTTTGTTATGTCAGGCCTAGGAAACCTAAGGCAATTGCTTAAATGCAAACGCTTTTATTTTTAAATATCTACTTTTTCTCCCTAGCACACAGATGGAACACTTGGCTTACATTACAGAGGTGGTTCTCATTCAACATTTGCACTTTCTTCCGTCAGATCCGTCTTCAAGGGCTATTATTAGATTCTTCTATTGCTGTGTTTTGAGAGCACGTTCAATTGATGGATTAAAAATCACTGCATGTGAAACCTACCAATTCCGATCTTTTGGTTGTTGCTGAATCACATTTCGTGTGTGGGTGAGGAAAGTCAAAATTCAGAATAATGAGCTCAGCTAATGTGTCATCTTAAAAGCATGTTTTCCAAGGTATCGCTCTATTAACGCTTGAAACATGGAACAGCAAAGAGTGTTGGTCGTCTCATTATGAGTTGAGCACTTGGTTTTAATGTCTGTGTACTTTATACTTTGAAATTACAAGATCATTAATTGCACCTGAGATCCAATGAGCTCCACAGCTGGCTTCCATGTGTTCTGGTGCTGCTGCTTGGTGTGATTGGAACGAGCTTTTAGAGAGTGTAGAATGGAAGGACAATTTCCTTAGTGGTCTCCTGTGCTGTGAGCAGAGTTGCCAAGATGATCTCTGGTACTTGGACTGACTTGGACTAGGACATTGAGGGACCTCTTCCAGCTTTCTCCTGTAGCCACAAGATGGACCCTCTCTAGTTTGACTCATAAGCCCCACCCAGAAGGGACTCAGGGTGGCATGGGGCTCCTCCCATGTCCCTGTGTTCGCTCATGAGGGGACCTGGGGGTCTCCCCACCCAAGAGCTCTACAGAAGAAATGGCTTGAGACCTCCTTAAACTGGGGCACAGACAGCTCATGTCTCTCTCTCTTCACTAGAGTAAAGAAGACATTCACTTCATCGTCCTGAGTAGAAAAGAAGGCTCAGGTCTGGGATTCAGTGTGGCAGAAGGGATGGATGCGGAGCCAGAGTCAATCATGGTAAGTGACAAGGTCCTGATGCCAGGAGGCGAGCCACTGCTCCCGCAGCCTCATGCTTTGATCAAGGCAAAAGTCAAGACCTTGGTAGTCACAGTATGCCTTGCATAGACTGCTAGTTTAGGCTACCTCCAACAAAACGAGTATATGATGTTTTTATTGATAAACACCAGTACCATGACCGCATGGCTGACGTGGGTCTATAGGCTCAATGATCTAGCTGCCAATACGTACCAATACAGCTGTCTGCACGTCGTTATCATTTGCCTCAAAATTTTATTTGTTTAAGCACTGGGGGAAAAATTGGCCAAGCTTGACTTTACTTATAAAATTAGTATTTTTTCTAGAACAATTTAAGATTTGGCATCACTCAAAAAAAGCCTTTTAAGTCACTCAGGAGGTTACTTCCCAGGACTTGAAAGCCCGGATCCTGTTCATCTTGAGATCCCATCGTCCCGGGATGTGTTAGGCCTATGTTCCCTCCGAGGAAAAAGTGTATCCTGACGGTGGCACTGCCATTTGTAATTCCGCCCCTCGCTCTTGGATATGTTTCAAATAAGACATGTTGCTAGGATTTGCTATTTTTCGCATTAGAAAGTCCCTTTATGACAGATTTGTAAGTACTCTCTTGCTTTGGGAGAAAGACAAGACTTACTTTAATAAAGAGTTGCAGTCTCAAACTCACAGCTGCGTACCCACACCCTGCCCTCTAGGCTCGCTGTGAGTTTACATGGACTGGATGGCAGTGAGTTTGGGTTTGTTTGTTTTTTGTTTTAATTTTTTGGTGGGAGGTGGTGTCAGAAATGAATTTGGCTTTTGTTCCCTTTGTCACCTGCCCCCAGGTACACAGGGTGCTTTCTCAGGGGGCGGCTGCTCAGGAAGGGACTGTGAACCGAGGGGATTGCCTTCTGGCTGTCAATGGCACCTCATTGGCTGGTCTCACCCAGAGGGAGGTCCTGAAGGTGCTCCACCAGGCACAGCTGCACAAAGATGCCCTCGTGGTCATCAAGAAGGGACGTGATCAGCCCAGACCCTCCACCAAGCTTGAGCCTTCCGCGGCCAATGGGAAGGCTGTGCTGTCCAGAAAGAGCATCACCCTGGAGCCAGGAACTGGTAAGGGAGCAGTTGAACATCAGTCGGGTGTAGCAGCTGACAGATGAGAGGTGATCCAAGTTGCACATGAAGGGAAATAACTGCTCATGTCTGGGCCTGCAGTGGAGGAGCCTGTTGGAGGGTGTGTCTTGCAAACTCAGTGTTACAAATTCTAAATATCCACCAGTGGTTAAAGAAAGCCACATTGTTGGGGCTTGAAAAGAAGCTCCTGTGAAGATTCACTTTCCCTTGTGAGGAGTTAGTGGCAGGGGGCTAACGCAAGACACTCTCATGATGGGGGAATCGGGTTGAAAAGGAGACTGCAGAACTGAGGTTTATCCATGGAAAGCACTAAGGTTGGCGTTCTTTCCTGACGTAGAAGAACACACGAATGAGAGGCACAACTTCTGTGTTTCCAAACAGCCTCAATCACCTTCAAGAAGAGGTGAGAAACACTCCCTCTGTGTCCTCTGCACTCAGCGAGCGCCCCATTGCTACACGCTGAAGCGAGGGCTCCCGAGAAGGTGGCCTCTCCCTGTAATCGGAGGGCAGGGTATTCCGAGACCCTGCAGGTTGCAGAGCTGTGCCTGCCTCCTCTTCACTTGTCTCTCTCATCCAGGGCAGCCAAAACCCTTGTACTCAACTTGACTTCTGGTGCCTGAGCGCTTAGGGGAGTGGCTTTACTGAGAGTGATACTGGCTCTGTGGGACAAACAACAAATGCGGCTTGTCTTGGTGCTACCTCATTCTTGGGGTGTCCTGGGTCTTCCCTCTGCTCTGTTGTCACTCTCTAGAGAGCACCTCCCAGGATTAGACAGAGGACATTTTCACACTGGCCTTTGCTTCAGCACCATGGCAACTGGCTGGCCTTACAAGCATTCTCCAGGCTTGTAGTCAGTGCCCTACAGGCAATGCAGTGGGGAGGGCAGTAATTCGGATCTCAAATACTCTTAAAAGGACTTCATAGTTGGGGGTGGGGGGGGGTGTTTTGGGTTGGTTGTTTCTGGAAAATTTTTAATCATGATAACTCCAAATATTTCTCTCATTCTGTGTGTTGTTGTTGTTTTCCCCCCCCCCCCTTGCGGGACTTCTCAGTATATTCTTGTATTTTCTTCTGTATTGCAAGGCAGAGGAGACTTGGTGGATCCAGGGGGGACGTGACTGGTTCTCTTCTTCCATGTCATTGCTGCAGGGAAAAGCACTGCTGCCCAGGAGGCCCTGTGTGTAGAAATGCTGAAGACCTCCGCCGGCTTGGGGCTCAGTCTCGAAGGAGGAAACTCTTCTGTGTCTGCAGATGGGCCGCTGCTTGTTAAGAGAGTGTACAAAGGTAATGTGCTCGCTACTCAGTCAGCTTTCTCTGACCTGCTTGCATCCCGGGTATGCCTCAGTGAAATATCAATGCCTTCATTTAGAAATACAGTTTGTTTGATTTTTTTTTTTTTACTGTAAAATACCTTGAATGCTCCATGGTATGGAGAGTGCAGTGTCAGCCTTGTTCTGATTGTTTTACTGCTTTAACTGTTGTCCTTGTGACAGCTCAGTCGGGTAGGTGGTTCTAATACGCCATTCTGCAAAAGGAGAGACTGCGTCCTGAGGAAGCAAAATACCTATGTCAAAGGGAAGAGCTAGTAGACACAAAGAGCTGCGGACCCAATAAATAGGAAGCCAATTTTTAAAATAAATAAAGGCAGGAATATTGCCTGGGAAATAAGACCAAGAGAATATTCATAAGAAGCAGGCAGATTTTTTAATTCTGTTTTAGCAAACCAATTTTAAAAATAAACTAAACCCATATGAAAAGAGAACTTCTAAAACCTGAGATAGAACAGAAGGAGTCATACAGAGATTTAAAGAGATGAAAATACAAGAAAATATTGAGAAGTTCCAGAATGAGAGAAAGGAAATATTTGGAGTTAGCATGACAAATTTTTCAAGAAACTGAGAGAAGACAGGCAAGAGGACTCTCAGTTTGGAAAAAAACTCACCAGCGGGCAAAACAGGATGGATTTTATAAACTTCAATAGGTCATCATAAAATTTTACCATATTAAAGAAAAATCTAAAAACAAGAAATTCACATTGTTCGAGAAGGCACCCCCATCAAATTAGAAGCAGTAATCCTCACCCGCCCTGAATGCCAGACACTCACAGGCTCGCCTTCTGAAGACTGAGGGGAAACTGGTCAGGCTGAACACCCAGGGCCTGGCGGGACTGTCACGAGCATCAGCAGCATGGAGTCACAGTGAAGGGAGTTGGCATGGCCATCACCCTGGCCAACCGCAGGCATCCAGCCGCCTCTCCTGGTGGCAGCACTAAGTGAAGGAAGAATGAGCCGCGGGGAGAGGAACAGAGAGGATGTCCTAGAGACCGACCAGCCTACTGGGGCACCTGGCCAGAAATCTGCATACACAGATCGCAAAGGACGTGAACAAGTGCCTATTCATGGGCCAGCCTGGTTCTGGATGCTCTTGTGTTCTTGCCTATAGCCTTTTTTCTTGTGAAAAAGCATTCGAGTACTGAGTACCGGTATTTCCTAATTTATCAGAGCAGGCCCCTCCCCTCTTTTTGGAGACTAATGAGTCAGGTGGCTTGGTACACAATGAGACCTTATCCAAGGATTACATCTTCCTGTCTCGGATAATCAGTGTCGTGGGTGCAAGTCATCTGTTCACCTTGCTTCCCTGTGCCCCTCAGCTCAAGCAACAAATATAGCAGTAGAATTTGCCCAATTTTTACAGAAGTTTAGAACAAAAGATTTTCTTTGAATAATAAACTAATTAAATGTCATAATTCCCTCCAGCTTTTTTTAATAGCAAGGTGGTGGTTTGTGAAAGAAGCAGTACGTGCATACGTGTCATCATCTGTGTAGCGGAGTTGGTTGAGTATATTTGGCTGCTAACCACTGTGTCAGCAGTTTAAACCTACCAGCCGCTCCACAGGAATGAGATTGAGGCTGTGTGCTCCTGTAAAGCTCTCAGCCTCAGAAACCCAAGGGAACAATTCCACTTTGTCCTGTGTGGAGTCACTGCATCAGTGTCATGCGTGACCGTCAGTCTGTGACTGTTTCTTGGGTGTGAAGCAGCAACCCCACAGGGAAAATTAAAACACTCTCAGTACAGTTACTGTCTGGGCTGATTTTTAAAAGTTTCTCTATTGTTTTATGCCCCACCCGCCAACTTCAGTAGAATAAGTTAAAAAGATTAATAATGGTATAAAGATGGTAAACACAGACAAAATTACTCATTGTTGGTAGACTGTATGTTTTGCCTGATTAAAAAAGAATCCAAAAGACTCAGACATCAAGCAATATAAATATTTCTCCAAGATTGTTGGATTTAACAATCAACACATTTTTTTATATACCCAGCAATAACTTCCTATAAAATATAATAGTGTTAAGGGCTCAAGTAGAAAGCAAATGTTTTGAGAATGATGGCAACAAATGTACAAATGTGCTGGACACAATGGATGTATGTATGGATTGTGCTAAGAATTGTACAAGCCCCCAATAAAATGATTTAAAATATATAATAGGATTAAGGGGGGAAAAAGAAAGCAAAAATAATACAATATAAGGGAAGTGATATAATAATAAAGTGAATGCTATTTTTAATGAGCAATTATAATAGGATTTCTTTTTTTATTTTTTTAAATAGGATTTCTTAAACAATAAAAACAAACATTTAACTTTTGTATAACAAAAACAGTTATAAGCAAAACTAAAAATGTAAGTGACTGACTAGATGATACATGGGATACTTTTAAATCAACAAAGGATAATTCCAGAATAAATGATGAAGAACTACAATAGGAAAAAGACAACCAAACAACTGGATAAAGAAAATGAGAGTTGACAGAACTGAAAGCACCTCAATCAGGAAGCACAGAAAAGAATACTTGAATTATTGGGAGAATTCATGATAGCGAAGACATCATTCTTGGTCAAAGGAGCAGGACTGGGCAGTGTTTCATTCTCCTCTGCACAGGGTTGCTATCGGGTAATGAAAAGCACCTAACAGTGACTATTAGTAACTAGATTTTTTTTTTTTGATTGACGTTTCTGAGAAAATTTTATTTGGAGTTTTTGTCTTTCGGTGTCATTTTATCCCCATGAAGAGGGTTCGTTGCATTATTATATATTTATTTTTTCGGTGTTTTTCTTTGTTTTAGAAAATGTAAGTGTATGAGAATAAGTAGAGGAGGGCTTATACTTCAGTTTTCTTCACAGCTGTTACAAGCACAAATTCATATGATAGTAACACGTCAACTTTTGTGTAAAAATAATCAAGTCATCTCAATACTTCTTGATAACCATGCAATAACTGATTCTCGGTCCCCTGTTAACAGTTAAAAGTTGATCCTGTTTTCCTGAATGTATTGGCACTTGGTATTTTAGCTGTTGATTTCTTTTGCCTAATTTTCTCTTTGTGCTGCATAGGTAACCCCAGACTGAGACGGGGTTCCAATCCAACGGCTCTCCTGAGTTGTCCCTGATGTCAGTCGAATACCTTTATTTCCCATCCTACCCCCATTGTTACTGCCTTTTCTCATCAGTAGTTTATTTTTTATCTTGATTATTTGGGGCGGCAAGAGTTGAGAGTAGCTACAAAGTTTTCTTTTCATGTCGTTCAGTTTCTTTTTCTGAGTATATTATTTTTGTATTTTGTTTAGGAAACATTTCCATACCTGAGAATATAAACGCAGTTTACAGATTTTCTCTTTTAAGTTTTTAATTTACTTGAAATCTGTTTGGAATACTACTTAGGTGAAAGCAATTGTTCTCATTGTTGCCAGAGGCTAGTCAGCCTGGCGGCCCCTGCCCTCAACTGCTTCAGCCCTTTGAATTTCTCCTTATAGGTGGTGCTGCTGAACAAGCCGGAACAATTGAAGCTGGAGATGAAATTCTTGCCATTAATGGGAAGCGCCTGGTTGGGCTCTTGCACTTGGACGCCTGGAATATTATGAAGTCTGTCCCCGAGGGACCTGTGCAGTTAGTGATCCGAAAGCACAGAAACCCTTCATGAAAGAACACCAAGGCCAGGTGCACTTTTTTTTAAAACCCATCTTCTTCTCCCATTTCTGTTACCTGAGCAAATCAGAATGATGAGTTTAACCCCTGGGACTCTGAAACCCACGAGTGCTGGCAAGGCCCCATGACGATCTGCACAGCAGCCATACACGTGAGGCCCACAGAGTCACCAGAGGGGACACTGGAGTCCTTGTACCTGCTCCCAGCCTGCTGTGTGAGCTGATAGGGCGCCACGTGTGACCTGCCTTCTTCCTTTGAAAGACTGGACGGAACCTCTGGGTACCACCTCTCCCCGTGCACCGAAGTCTGAGGTACCAGCAGGCACATCGACATGAACTCGCCACCCTATCGGTTTGCAAGGAAAGGTTGTGTTTTTTAGGCATGTACAATGCAAGGAGCAGTTGGAGATGTGTATGCATGATGACCCAGTTGTGGAGCATTCTGAGGGTTCTCTGAACATGGCCGAGGGAGCCAAAGAGTATAGTGAGTGGAATGTGCAATGTATGACTGCAGACTCGAGGGCTGTGGGGTGCAGGTCATCTCAGCGTGCTGACGACTTCTCTTTGTCGAAGAAAGGAGCCCCGGTGGTAGAGTGAGTCAAGTATTTAACCACAAAGTTGGCAGTTCAAAACCTGGTGGTTGGATGAGCCACATATTCAACCACAAGGTCAGCAGTTCAAACACGCCCGCTGCTCCGTGGGAGACAGATGAGGCTGTCTGTCACTGTAAGGTGTGCAGCCTCAGAAAACCCCAGAGACCGTTGTAGTCTGTGCTGTAGTTGCCTTGATGACACAGCGACCCGATGGCAGTGAGGGATATGGCTCCATGTATAAGGCTTGTAGAGCAGCGGTTCCACGAGTGTCCTGAGCAGCCATGAGTGCCCTTGCCCACAACAAGCACTGTACTAACGGAAAGCACCTAGCCTCTCCTCCGTTACCTTGTCTAGAACAGTAGGACCTGACACTGGCCTTTTTCAGTCCTTGACCTTGTGTCGCTTCTGCTAATGCACCTTTTAGAAGTTAAATATCCCTTCAGTGACGTTGGACTCAGACGAGTGGGCTGAAAATCCTTTTAGGCAAGTTTTCTGTTTGTCACCCCACGGTCCCTCCCTCCCTAACGCATTGCCTTCGAATCACTTCAGACTCTCCTGAGATATAGGTAGGTAGAACTGCCCTGTGCATTTCCAAAACGAATCCTTTATGAATGGAGTAGAAGCCTCATCTTGCTCCCTCAGGGTGGTTGGTAGTCTCAAACTGTCCATTTGAAAAACGTACCCTAAGGAGTATCTGCTCCACTACTTCCCTTGGGCTCCACCTCGGGGTGGCTGGCCTCAAACTGACCATTTGCAAGAAGTGCCCTAGGGAGTATCTGCTCCATTGCTTCTCCTGGGCTGGTTGGTGGTCTCAAACTGTCCATTTGGAAATTGAACCCTAAGGAGTAACCGCTCTGTTCCTCCTCCTCTCTTGGGTCTCCTCAGGGTGGTTGGTGGTCTCAAACTGTCCATTTGAAACACGTACCCTAAGGAGGATCTGCTCCACTACTTCCCTCAGGCTGCTAGGGGTGGTTGGTCTCAAACTGTCCATTTGCAAGATGCGCCCTAGGGAGTATCCCCTCCATTGCTTCTCCTGGAGTACTTGGTGGTCTCAAACTGTCCATTTGAAAGACGTACCCTAAGGAGGATCTGCTCCATTCTTCCTCCCCCCCGGGCTCCGCGTGGGGTGTCTGGTCTCCAACTGTCCATTTGCAAGATGCTTCCCTAAGGAGTATCCGCTCCATTGCTCCTCCTCGGGGTGGTTGGTGGTCTCAAACCGTCCATTTGGAAAATGTACCCTGAGGAGTATCTGCTCCATTCTTCCCTCGGGCTCCCCCTGGGGTGGTTGGTCTCCAACTGTCCATTTGGAAAATGTACCCTGAGGAGTAACAGCTCCGTTCTTCCTCCCCTGGGGCTCCTCCTCGGGTTGGTTGGTCTCCAACTGTCCATTTGCAAGATGGGCCCTAGGGAGTATCCGCTCCATTGCTTCTCCTGG